CATTTACAATACAAATTCAACCTCCCACCCACTCATTTTCTATACTGTGAATTTTTTCAGGAGCAGCACATCTCCTGTCTTAAACTCGTTATGCCTAAACCACTAGCAACGATCTTGTGCCTAACCCAAGGGGGGCTTGGAGGTGTCTCCACAGGGTCATAGTGGGAGAATCATGGAGAGAAATCCAGCTCAAGATATTACACAGCGTCTGCCTGGTATTCAACATCTCAGTCAAAAATTCCTTGCAAAATTGGCTACTAGAGTGCCCATATTTTGGTACCACATCCCAACTTCTCAACTGTTTTGAAAAGAATCTTGGAATATCCGACACACCAAAGCAGTGATGAAATGGTTTTAACTTTTTGACAAGGTCACTTTAAAGGAAACATTAACCTAGGAACCTACCATTGCTGGCCTTTCTTTCAGAAAATACTAGCTCCCTGGCTGACCCAGTGGCTTTACTACTGTCACAGATCTTGAGCTCAAAATTCCCTCTGGCTTTTCTGATTTGCATATTTATTTCAGGTCAATAACTCAAAGTGCTAATGCCAGAGACAGTCAGACAACTAACATTTTTAGAACGAAGTTGACATTGGTAGGGTACATATTTCAGTACAGTTTTCCTTTAACCCTTACCCACTAACTGTAGCCTCAGTAAGTATACCCTAATGATTTACATCCTGGGTTTTCTGTTCTGGATACATGATTGATTTTCTATTTAGTGCCTATTACACTCACTGGCCTCTTTACTAGGTACAGCTGTTCAATTACTTGGTAGCACAAATTGCCAATCAGCCAATCACATGACAGCAATCCAATGCATTTAGGTATCTAGATGTGGTGAAGACGATTTGCTGAAGTTCAAACAGAGCATCAGAATGGGGAAGAAAGGGGATTTAAGTGACTTTGGCTTGACTGGCATGGTTGTTGGTGCCAGACGGGCTGGTCTGCGTATTTCAAAAACTGCTATTCTACTGGGATTTCACGCACAACCATCTCTAAGGTTCACAGAGAACGGTCCTAAAAAGAGAAAATAGCCAGTGAGCGGCAGTTAAGTGGACAAAAATGCCTTGTAGATGTCAAAGGAGAATGGGCATACTGGTTCAAGATGATAGGCTACAGTAGGGTCAGAATTTGGCGTAAACAGCATGAAAGCATGGATTAATTCTGCCTTGTTCAGGCTAATGATGGTGGTGTAATGGTGTGTAGGGGATATTTTCTTGGCACTAGCAAGGTGTACCCAATAAAGTGGCTGGTGAGTGTATGTGTTTGTTATATACAGTGAATACCGTGTGTGTGTGTGAGGGATATTTTCTCTCTCACTGACCACCAAAGCTGGGACATTTCTCTAATTGACCACCATTATATGGAAGTATTCTTCTTCCAAATCGGTACAAAGGGACTTTCCGCCCACTTACCACCATAGCTGGGGCATTCTTCCACCTATTGGCAACCAATGTAAGAGAGCAAACCTCCCAACTGTCAACCAATGTGTGGGATGTTCACCCTTCCGCAGTCCACCAATGTGAGGGATGTTCCCCTCCCACAGTCCACCATTGTGAGGGATGTTCTCCCTCCCGCAGTCCACCAATGTGAGGGACGTTCTCCCTCCCGCAGTCCACCAATGTGAGGGACGTTCTCCCTCCCGCAGTCCACCAATGTGAGGGACGTTCTCCCTCCCGCAGTCCACCAATGTGAGGGACGTTTTCCCTCCCGCAGTCCACTAATGTGAGGGACGTTCTCCCACCCAAGTCCACCAATGTGAGGGGCGTTCTCCCTCCCGCAGTCCACCAATGTGAGGGACGATCTCCCTCCCACAGTCCACCAATGTGAGGGACGATCTCCCTCCCGCAGTCCACCAATGTGAGGGACTTTCTGCCTCCCACAGTCCACCAATGTGAGGGATTTTCTCCCGTCCGCAGTCCACCAACATAAGGGACAGTCTCCCTGCAACTGTCCACCAACAAGAGGGACATTCTTCCTTCAAACTGGCCACCAATATGAGTAAAGTTCTTCCTCCAAACTGACCACCAATGTCAGGGACATTCTTCCTCCTACCAATATAAGGCATATGCTCCCCCATTGAAAACCAATGTGAGGAATATCCTTGCTCCTATTGTTGACCAATATAAGGGATGTTCACCTTCCCACCAACGTATAAAAACCAAATTCTTCCTTCTACTAACCACCAACGTGCACTGCAAGACATTCTTCCCCCTACTGAGCAATATATGACATCCTTCTCTCACTGACCACCAATACAAAAAACATTCTTCCCCCTACAGACCACCAATACAAAAAACATTCTTCCCCCTACTTACCACCAATATAAAGGACATTATTCCTCCCACTGACCACTAAAGCGGGCAGCAATTTTCTCCACGCTCTGGACCCCTGCTGCCTGTGTTGCACTTGTAGTCCTCCCGACTGTTGCACACTGTACAGTATGTTGTACATTTCATTTGCCCGCCATATACTGTTCCATATATACTACTGGTTTTTTGTGCTGTGCATAATACATTACCAATGCCCTAGATATAGCAAGCTATGCTTTAGGAGTAGGGTAATAATTGTAGTACTGGCTCAGGGAAAGAAGCGTAGCTCTGATTGTCTACAAAACAGCTTCTATGTCAATAGAACAATGATGAGCATTACAGGCTAAGCACTCTGTGACAAGGGTCAGTCTTTTGTCACAAGGAAGCAAATAGTAGCAGCCTTTGTTGGAGAATGATATTAAGAGTGGATTACACATAGGATCAGCTATCCTGCTACTGAAAAAACTGAATGGAAACGTTTGTGATCAATAAACCTTTTCCTCCAATTGGCCCTATTGTTCTATACTTTCTGAAATAAGGCACTGCTGGTAAGGGCTCCAGCTACAACGCTTTCTCTTGTTGGGTAGAGAAGGGAAGGGTTGTGAGTGTTGGCAAGGTTTTTGCCTCTGTCTGTGTCCCACGGGAGAGAATTCTCTTTCACTTCCTGTCAGGACAGGAAGTTATGGAAAATGTTTGCAATGGGGACACTGACAAAAGACAAAAGCACATTTTTAGTAGGCTAACAAAATGTTATAACTTAGGACAAAGTTACTCCTTACATCATTGCCTAACCCCTTTACAACCACCCAATACAATTGTACGATGGCCTTTAAGGTCCTCTTGTCAAACATAAGCATCGCTGAACGGCTGTTCACTGTGTGCTGAGAAAACACCCACTGCATGCTCTCAGCACAAAGACTGAGCTGTCACGGACAGCTCTTGGTTGCGGCTACAGATCGGTAGCTGGCTTCTGATCATGTGACCACTGTGACAGTCACATGATCGCCAATCCTTCATGCCCCCAGGCATTCTGAACTGTTTGAAGGGGCGCCGTAATGGGAGGGAAGACATTAAAGGGGTCCCAAAGCATAATTTTTCAAATTATGAGCAGCACAGTGGCTAAATGGTTAGCACTTCTGCCTGGCAGTACTAGGGTCATTGGTTCGAATCCCAACCACGGGCACAACCTGCCTGGAGTGTGCCTGTGTGGGTTTCTTCCGGGTACTCCGGTTTCCTCCCACACTCCAAAGACATGCTGGAAGGTTAATTGGCTCCTGTATAAATTGTCCCTAGTATGTGTATGTATGAATGTAAGTTAGGGACCTTAGATTGTACGCCCCTTGAGGGTTAGGGACTGAAGTGAATGTACAATATATATGTAAAGAGCTGCGTAAATTGACAGCGCTATATAAGTACCTATAATAAATAAATAAAATACATTTCACAACATAAGAAAGTGATACATTATTTACAAGATGAAGGCACTTTGTACATTGTTCTAATATGGTATTATGGATATATCTTCCCGTCATCTCCTGAGGAAGCAAAGGATGTGAAATGTATCAAGAGAACACTGCGTCCCTTCCACCATCACAAATCCTATTAATGAATTCCTTCAAACATTAAATATGAAATGACATGGTGGTAAAGTAAGGGGTCAAAGTGATTATATGGAAGCATTTTCTCAAATTAATGTTTACATATATAATCATGATGATCAGTTGGATGCAACAGCAATCAAAGTTTTTTTTTGTTGTTTTATGTATTTTTAAAGCTGTTTGGTGAATAAAAGCAGATTCTACTGTATTAGCTGCCTTCGTGGATACCATTTTTAGCATCGTAGCCTCCCTAGCGGTCTGATTATGTCCATATTTTTGTGCTCAAAGCAGTACATTTTTTTGCATGGAAATATGTCGTTTTTTTATTGTAGGCTGTAATTTTTAGGAATAACTCACTGAAATCTGCCCGAACAAGAGTCTAGTAAGCATCCCGGGTATGATAACATTTGAAACATGAAATCATAAATTGTAATTCAATAATCATAAAAAATAATATAATAATAATAAATTTAATTCAATAATGTAATCAAACCAAAAACACTGAAATTTGAAATATAGCGCCAAGTTCGCACATCACTGAGCAAAGTCGCAAAATCGTTTTCAGTGTCTGATGACGAATTTCCCCACAAATCATTGTCACTCAGTTCTGCAAGTAGTTCTGATTTACTATCGCTGTTCTCTAGCCGGTCTAAAACCGATTTTGACCTAAAGGGGCGCTTTTTGGATGCCATGGACGTTTCTAAGTTTCCAGGCAGAAAAAACACTAAAAATGCAGGCAGGGCGCCGGACAAAGCACTCGGGACAAAATGTATGTGAAATGGTTTGATACAGGAATGTTTTACTATGTGATTTTAGTGTACTTAGTGAATTTCACTTTTAAAATTTCCCGCCAATCCGTCCCCCGTACATCCCGATGTCGCAGGGAACGGAACCCAGATGACAGATGCTGGCATCCGCCGGAGGAGATTGCCGGGGATGCTGCAGGGGGGACATCGCGGGAGCGAAGGACAAGATAAGTGAAGAAGGGATCCCGGCTGCACTTTCCTCGCGCTGTCACAGCGTGAGGACAGTACTGCCGATAACCGGCAATTGTCAGAGGTCGGATCGGCCCAGATGATCAGTGCACTGATGATCAGTGCCCAGCAGTGCCACCCAGCAGTGCTGTCCACCTGTGCCCATCAGTGCCTAGTAGTGCCACCCACCAGTGCACAGCAGTGCCACCCACCAGTACCACCAGTGAGTGCCGTCAATCAGTGCCCATCAGTGCTGCCTATCAGTGCCCATCATTGTTGCATATCAGTGCTGCCTATCCATGCCACTTCATCAGCGCCCATCAGTGCTGCCTATTAGTGCAGCCTCATCAATGCACATCAGTAAAGGAGAAAAATGACCTGTTTGCAAATTTTATAATAAAAACAAAGAAAAACTTTTTTTTTTCAAATTCTTTGCTCTTTTTGTTTATACCGCAAAAAAATAAAACACCCAGCGATGAGTACATACCACCAAAAGAAAGCTCTATTTGTGTGAAAAAAATTATAAAAATTTCATATGGGTACAGTGTTGTATGACCGCGCAATTGTCAAAGTGCGACAGTGCTGAAAGCTGAAAATTGGCCTGGGCAGGATGGGGGTACAAGTGTCTGGTAGACAAGTGATTTTTTTTTAATCCTGGATTCTTTGCTAGAGACACAGAATATAACTGGATATAACATTTATAGGTAAAGTTGATCCAGGGAATATCTGATTGCCTCTCAGGGGGTCGGGAAGGAATTGATTCCCCTGCAGGAGCAAATTGGATCATACTTTGCTGGGTTTTTTTGCCTTCTTCTGGATCAACTATGGGTATATGATTATAACTTTTTTGGTTGAACTGGATGGACTTTTGTCTATTTTTCAGCCAGACTATGTAAAATGGCCAAAGCTAGAAATGCTGGGGGGGGGGAGTGTCTTTTAAACACCTTCCGCCCGCCATATAGTACAATGTGGTTCTCTCGTTCTGATAGGATGTCATATGACGTCCTTCCATTCTCACCAGGGAGCGCGCAGCGCAGGGAGCGCGCAGCGCAGTGATCGCCGGTGCGCTGTGTCCCTCGGACACAGCGGATAACGGAAAGAGCCAAAGATGTCGGCTCGGTCATGTGATCAGCTGTGTCCAATCACAGCTGATTGCATGTAAACACTGCTGGTTATTGGCATTTCTCTCCTCTCGAGCTGTCACGCTGACAGCTCGAGAGGAGAGCCGGTAATTGGTATCCCTCAGAGGAAACATGTACACTGATCATCAGGGCACTGATGATCAGTGTGCCCTGATGATTAGTGTGGCCCCAAAGGTGCCACCTGTCAGTGTCCATCAGTGCCAGCGGTCAGTGCTCATCAGTGCCACGTGCCAATGCCCATCAGTGCCACATATCAGTGCATACTAGTGCACATCAATGCCACATATCAGTACCCATCTGAGCTGCCTTTCAGTGTCACCCATCAGTGCCAATCAGTGCCACCTATCAGTGCCAGTCAGTGTCGCCTGTCAGTGCCGCCTGTCAGTGCCACCTATCAGTGCCAGACAGTGCCAGTCAGTGCTGCCTAACATTGCCAGTCAGTGCCGCCTATCAGTGCCATATATCAGTGCCATGTATCAATGCTGCCTTTCAGTGCCCATCAGTGATGCCTGTCAATGCCCATCAGTGCCACCTACCAGTGCCTCCTCATCAGTGCCACCTATCAGTGTCCATCAGTGCAGCCTATCAGTGCCCATCACTGCAGCCTCATTAGCGCACATCAGTGAAGGAGAAAAATCACTTATTTACAAAATTGTATAACAAAAACTAAGAAAAAACTTTTTTTTTCAAAATTTTCAGTGGTTTTTGGTTTGTTTAAGAAAAAATAAAAATCCCAGAGATGATTAAATACCACCAAAATAAAGCTCTGTCTTAAAAAAAAATGATAAAAATTTCATATGGGTACAGTGTTGCATGACCGCGCAATTGTCATTCAAAGTGTGACAGCGCTGAAAGCTGGAAATTGGCCTGGGCAGGAAGGGGGTATAAGTGCTCTGTAGGCGAGGGGTTAAAGTGATTTCTCATCAAAAGAAAGCATGGAGACAGGGAGAGAGGGAGACAGGGAGACAGGGAGAGAGGGAGACAGGGAGAGAGGGAGACAGGGAGAGGGAGGGAGAGAGGGAGACATGGAGAGAGGGAGAGAGGGAGACATGGAGAGAGGGAGACATGGAGACATGGAGAGAGGGAGACAGGGAGAGAGGGAGACAGGGAGACATGGAGAGAGGAGACAGGGAGACATGGAGAGAGGGAGACAGGGAGAACAATGGAGAGAGGGAGACAGGGAGACAGGAGAGAGGGAGACAGGGAGAGGGGAGAGACATGGAGAGAGGGGAGAGAGGGAGACATGGAGAGAGGGAGACATGGATGGATGGATGGATGGGTGAGTTTGCTTTAAATATTAATAAACAATGACCTATCATTTTTGGATTGTGGTGCTCAGATGCAGTGCAGTTCCACTTTAAACTCTCACATAGTGTGCCCCTGAACCCTGCACTCTGTATGCAGCTCACCCCTAAACCCCGCACTTTGTACATAGTGTGCCCCTGAACCCTGCACTCTGTATGCAGCAAACCCCTGAACCCTGCACTCTGTACGCAGCGAACCCCTGAACCCTGCACTCTGTACATAGCGCACCCCTGAACCCTGCACTCTGTACATAGCGCACCCCTGAACCCTGCACTCTGTATACAGCAAACCCCTGAACCCTGCACTCTGTACATAGCGCACCCCTGAACCCTGCACTCTGTACATAGCGCACCCCTGAACCCTGCACTCTGTACGCAGCGAACCCCTGAACCCTGCACTCTGTACATAGCGCACCCCTGAACCCTGCACTCTGTACATAACGCACCCCTGAACCCTGCACTCTGTATGCAGCAAACCCTTGAACCCCACACTCTGTACATAGCGCACCCCTGAACACTGCATTCTGTACATAGCGTGCCCCTGAACACTGCATTCTGTACATAGCGCGCCCCTGAACCCTGCATTCTGTACACAGAGCGCCCCTGAACCCTGCATTCTGTACACAGAGCGCCCCTGAGCCCTGCATTCTGTACACAGAGTGCCCCTGAGCCCTGCATTCTGTACATAGAGCGCCCCTGAGCCCTGCATTCTGTACATAGTGTGCCCCTGAGCCCTGCATTCTGTACACAGCGCGCCCCTGAACCCTGCATTCTGTACATAGCACCCCTGACACCCCTGAACCCTGCACTCTGTACATAGCACACCCCTGAGCCCCGCACTCTGTACATAGCACACCCCTGAACCCCGCACTCTGTACATAGCACACCCCTGAGCCCCGCACTCTGTACATAGCACACCCCTGAACCCCGCACTCTGTACATAGCACCCCCTGAACCCCGCACTCTGTACATAGCACACCCCTGAGCCCCGCACTCTGTACATAGCACACCCCTGAGCAGTGCACTCTGTACATAGCGCACCCCTGAACCCCGCACTCTGTACATAGCGCACCCCTGAACCCCGCACTCTGTACATAGCGCACCCCTGAACCCTGCACTCTGTACATAGCGCACCCCTGAACCCCGCACTCTGTACATAGCGCACCCCTGAACCCTGCACTCTGTACATAGCGCACCCCTGAACCCTGCGATCACCTTCTATAGATGAGATTGTATAGTGTGTGATCACCTTATAGTATATCTAAAGACAAATCTTTGTTCTAGTGTTGGATGGAGTGGAGATGATTAGAATCCCTGTCAGTGTTTATTGCTGTCTGTGACCCCCATTAGGGACAGTTAAACTCTCTATTTGTCCTGTTTACTAATATCTCCGAAAGTGAAAGAGAATCCCTAATTTTGGGTTGTCACCAGAACAGGAATGGAGGGAAAATCTTCCAGTGGGGACACCTGGGATTCTCTCACTTAGGAAGGAATTTCTCTCACTTCCTGTTTTGGATCTGGGACAGAAAGCGAAGAGAAATCTCTCCAATGGGGACACTAGTTCTGGTGACAAACAGGAATTCTCTCACTTTAGAAATCATTTCTCTCACTTCATGTTTTCTCACTTCCTGTTTTGGATATGGGACAGGAAGTGAAGGGAAATCTGCTTAATGGGGACACTAGTTCTGGTGACAACCAGTAATTCGCTCTCTTTGGAAGGAATTTCTCTCACTTTCTGTGTTGGATATGGGACAGGACGTGAAGGGGAATCTCCCCAATAGGACACTAGTTCTGGTGACAACCTGGGATTCTCTCACTTTGGAAGGAATTTCTCTCACTTCCTGTTTTGGATCTGGGAAAGGAAGTGAAATCTCCCCAATGGGGACACTAGTTCTGGTGACAACCAGGAATTTTCTCACTTTAGAAAGTATTTCTTCCATATCCTGTTTTGGCTATGAGACATAAAGTGAAGAGAGATCTCCCCAAATGGGGACACTAGTTCTGATAACAACCAGGAATTCTCTCAATTTAGAAATAATTTCTCACTTCCTGTTTTGGATATGGGACAGGAAGTGAAGGGAAATCTCCATAATGGGGACACTAGTTCTGGTGACAACCAGTAATTTGCTTTCTTTAGAAGGAGTTTCTCTCACTTTCTGTGTTGGATATGGAACAGGACGTGAAGGGGAATCTCCCCAATAGGACACTAGTTCTGGTGACAACTTGGGATTCTCTCACTTTGGAAGGAATTTCTCACACTTCCTGTTTTGGATCTGGGACAGGAAGTGAAGGGAAATCTCCCCAATGGGGACACTAGTTCTGGTGACAACATTGCCTACCAATTGCTAGTCATGGTATGGTACATGCACCACTTAAAGGGGATCTCTTTGTGCTTCTTCTGGTGGGTGCACACAGAGTGGGTATGTATATACACACACTGTATACAGGTAGGTATTGTCCTGGCTCTCAGTGTACACATGAATTGTTCTTTCCCCTGTCTCTATATAAACACACCACCTAGACCTGTATATAGTGACATGGCAGCTTTGTAGCAGGCTGTGAGGGTGCAGGGAGGGGGAAGGGAAGGATGCTTACCTCCCTATTCTATGCCTGCCTGGCTCTTCTTCCCCATCTTTCTGCAGCCTTTGACGGCTGACTGCTGGCTCCACCCACCTCTGCCAGGGACAGGGCGGAGCCCTCGGAGTGAGAAGGGCACCGCGACGTCCTCAGTAGGCGCCGGAAGTGAAGAGTCTCCTGTGTTTACATGCAGTAGAGAAGTTGCTGGAAAGGAAGATGCTGGCAGGGAAGAATTTCAGAAGACGGAGATCCTCCAGCTCGGATGAAGAAGAGGAGGAGGGGGGTGGGGAGGTGACCTCTGAGGTCAGGTGAGTGGAGGCACTGAGGACATGGAAGGAGTTCCGTACAAGGGGCTGAAGTTGTGCTGCAGGGAGGGTATGTGGGGTGATCCTGTGTTGGCAGCTGGTCCTGGAAGCTGTACCAGTTACACAAATGCTCTTTTAGGATGTTCCTCCCCTTGCCTAGAATTAAGAGTAAGGAGGTTATAATTTGTGGCCATAGTCCCTGCATGGACGGTGTACTGTATGACTGGGTGTCCCAGCACGGTCTGATGGCCTGTGTATGCATTGTGTACTGTGTACAGGACTGGGTGTGTACTGTATGACTGGGTGTCCCAGCACGGTCTGATGGCCTGTATACACTACACTGTGTGTCCCAGCACTGTATGACTGGGTGTCCCAGCACGGTCTGATGGCCTGTATGCACTGTGTACTACAGGACTGGGTGTCCCAGCACGGTCTGATGGCCTGTATGCACGGTACAACAGGACTGGGTGTCCCAGCACTGGTCTGATGCACTGTGTACTGTATGACTGGGTGTCCCAGCACGGTCTGATGGCCTGTATGCACTGTGTACTACAGGACTGGGTGTCCCAGCACGGTCTGATGGCCTGTATGCACTGTGTACTACAGGACTGGGTGTCCCAGCATGGTCTGATGGCCTGTATGCACTGTGTACTGTATGACTGGGTGTCCCAGCACGGTCTGATGGCCTGTATGCATTGTGTACTACAGGACTGGGTGTCCCAGCACGGTCTGATGGCCTGTATGCATTGTGTACTGTACAGGACTGGGTGTCCCACTGGGTGGCCTGTATGCACAGTACGGTCCCAGCATGATGGCCTGTATGCATTGTGTACTACAGGACTGGGTGTCCCAGCACGGTCTGAGCACGGTCTGATGACTGGGTGTCCCAGCACGGTGTGATGCACATGTGTACTACAGGACTGGGTGTCCCAGCAAGGTCTGATGACCCGTATGCACTCTGTACTATATGGCTGTTTGTCCACATGATATGATCTGATCTGTATACAGTGGGGGGTTTATCAAAACCGGAGCAGAGTGAATCTGAAGCAGCTGTGCATGGCATGGTTAACCTTTGAAAATTAAAGATGGAATCTGATTGGTTGCCATGCACAGCTACTGCGGATTTGTTCTGCTCCAGTTTTGATCAAATCCCCTAACTGTGTACTATGTGACAGTGTGTCCCAGCACAATCTGATGGCTTATATGCACCATGTACTATGTGACTGGGTATGAAAAGTACATAGACTGTCCCTAAAGCACACTGACAGCCATATACAGATGTATATTCTGTCTTCTCATTTTTTTTTTTACAATTGCTATTTTAAAACAGAGTTCAAGGAGTTCAGGCATACTGTTAAGTCCAATGAGGTGCATGCCAGCTCCTGGACTTATCTGGATTATTTACATCTGACAGGCTAATGGAGCTCCCGAAGGGGACACTGGGGCTCTGAGTGGAGAGAAGCATACACAGCAGCTGTGCCCACCCTCTCCTCTTCTGCTAGGGTTCCCACCTCATCCCTTTAAAACAAATTACACAAGTTCTGAGGCAAATTATTGCAGATAATGTATTAAGTGAGTTTAATTACCACCTTAATGGGCCACAGAACCTGTGTAATTTGTTTTAAAGGGATGAGGTGGCAACCCTATCTTCTGCCCATTTACAGAAGCCTTTGTATTTTTTTAATTGAGTTCATATAATGCAAAGGCTTCTGTGACTGGCAGGAGGCGGGCCTAATAGCTGCATCGATTCTGCTGCTGAAGGAGCTGAGACCAGAAGGTCCACTGTCAGAGCTCCCAATACTCTAGCGATGGCTGTCTTCTGAGAGGTGCATAAACCTGTCAGCTGTAAATAGAGAGAGGTCCAACAAGGCGAATGACAACTCCTGGACTTAACTGATCGTATGCCTGCACTTTTTACAAAGTAGCTGAATTCTTTAGTAGCTGAATTCACTGAAAGTGTAAAGTAACCGTACATCAGTGTTAGTGTTGTGAGCTGATGGAAAGTGCATAAGACATTCATAAAACAAAAGGACTTGCTGACTTCACACTTCAGTTCACTGTCTGGTTAGGTTTCAGGCCTTTGCTGCCCTCTTTGGACTGGGGGGTTTCCTTAGTACTACATGACAAAACAACAAAAAGGGTGCACCAGCCTCCTGTATTACCTTAGACAGCATTTATTAATAAAAGAAAAAAGAAATTCTCACAAAAAAGTGTTATAATCGTGAGTATATAACATCACTGAAATGCTGGCCAATGAACAACTCTGGAACCTGGTATACCCTCCTCACAGCCCTGGAGAAAATATACCCAGCAAAACGCATTCGCTCCTCTTGTGCCGGAGAGTGTCATCCAACAACCAAGTTCTACAGCTGTTCACAGGCTGGTGTTTCAGTGATGTTACGTATATGCACATGATTTGTAACACTTATGTGAGTGTTGCTTTATTCGTTTATTAATAAATGGTGCCCATGGTAATACAGGAGGTTGGTGCATCCTTCTTGTTGTCAGGTTTTATTGCTTGTCTGTCTTCTTAAAAAGGAGATCCATCAAATCCATCAATTTGTTATGTTTGCTGTAATCGCCAAGAGTGAAAGAAAATCCCAAATATTGGGTTGTCACCTAAACGTGAATAGAGGGGAAATCTTCCAATGGGGGCCCTAGTTCTAGTGACAACCAGTGATCAGCTCAGACATGTTCAAGAAAGGATCCAAACCTGGGTGTGCAAGCCTGCCTGGAAGTTATTACCTTTACTTGCCAATCTTCTGTGTCTGAGGCATATCCTACCCTACAGCTGCACATATACAGTGGGGATCGAAAGTTTGGGCACCTCAGCTAAAAATTTGTATTAATGTGCATAAAGAAGCCAAGGAAAGATGGAAAAATCTCCAAAAAGCATCAAATTACAGTTTAGACATTCTTATATGTCAACAAAAGTTAATTTTATTTCCATCATTTACACTTTCAAAATAACAGAAAACAAAAAAATGGCGTCTGCAAAAGTTTGGGCACCCTGCAGAATTTATAGCATGCACTGCCCCCTTTGCCAAGCTGAGACCTGCCAGTGTCATGGATTGTTCTCAATCATCGTCTGGGAAGACCAGGTAATGTCAATCTCAAAGGTTTTAAATGCCCAGACTCATCTGACCTTGCCCCAACAATCAGCACCATGGGTTCTTCTAAGCAGTTGTCTAGAAAACTGAAACTGAAAAGTTGACGCTCACAAAGCTGGAGAAGGCTATAAGAAGATAGCAAAGCGTTTTCAGATGTCAATATCCTCTGTTCGGAATGTAATTAAGAAATGGCAGTCATCAGGAACAGTGGAAGTTAAAGCAAGATCTGGAAGACCAAGAAAAATATCTGACAGAACAGCTCGCAGGATTGTGAGAAAAACAATTCAAAACCCACGTTTGACTGCGCGATCCCTCCAGAAAGATCTGGCAGACACTGGAGTTGTGGTACACTATTCCACTATAAAGAGATACTTGTACAAATATGGTCTTCATGGAAGAGTCATCAGAAGAAAACCTCTTCTACGTCCTCACCACAAAAATCGTTTGAACTTTGGAAATGAACATATAAACAAGCCTGTTGCATTTTGGAAACAAGTTCTGTGGACCGATGAGGTTAAAATTGAACTTTTTGGCCGGAATGAGCAAAGGTACGTTTGGAGAAGAAGGGGCACAGAATTTAATGAAAAGAACCTCTGTCCAACTGTTAAGCATGGGGTTGGATCAATCATGCTTTGGGGTTGTGTTGCAGCCAGTGGCACAGGGAACATCTCACGAGTAGAAGGAAAAATGGATTCAATAAAATTTCAGCAAATTTTGGATGGTAACTTGAAGCCATCTGTGAAAAAGCTGAAGTTAAAGAGAGGATGGCTTCTACAAATGGATAATGATCCTAAACACACCTCGAAATCCACGGGGGATTACATCAAGAGGCGTAAACTGAAGGTTTTGCCATGGCCTTCACAATCTCCTGACCTCAACATAATTGAAAATCTATGGATAGACCTTAAAAGAGCAGTGCGTGACAGACAGCCCAGAAATCTCAAAGAACTGGAAGACTTTTGTAAGGAAGAATGGGCAAAGATACCTCAAACAAGAATTGAAAGACTCTTGGCTGGCTACAAAAAGCGTTTACAAGCTGTGATACTTGCCAAAGGGGGCAGTACAAAATATTAACTCTGCAGGGTGCCCAAACTTTTGCAGACGCCATTTTTTTGTTTTCGGTTATTTTGAAAGTGTAAATGATGGAAATAAAATCTAACTTTTGTTGACATATTATAAGAATGTCTAATCTGTAATTTGATGCCTTTTGGAGATTTTTCCATCTTTCCTTGGCTTCTTTATGCACATTAATACAAATTTTTAGCTGGGGTGCCCAAACATTCGATCCCCACTGTACATGCCCCTTTTATTGGTGAAGCTGCACAACAGTTAATGCCCAGTCTGTACAGGTGACAGCCTTCTGCCTGGCTCACGCGTAGGTTTGGATCCTCGTCTGAACGTGGCTGTGCTCATCACCCGACAGTCAGGGATTCCCTCACTTTGGAGAGATTTCCTCTCACTTTCTGGTTTGGCTCTGGGACAAGACATGAGGGAAAATTTCCCTGATGGGACACAGAGGGCAAAAACTCTGAAAGAGGTTATAACCCTCCCTTATCCTTTCCAAAATGTGACAAAAGTTTTGCCTATACTTCTACTTTAAAGCATTACAGCTTGGTTAAGGAATTTCCCAGCCTGTGAAGGACCAGCAGTGCAATGGCCAGGTTAACCCTGGCCTCTTCTCTCCTATCAGCCAGCTCCCTGTTCACTGTGCAGTATGAGAAAACCTAACTGGATTACAGTGCTGTTACTAGCCAGAATCTTGCTTTTTAACAGGACCGGATTAAGAGCGTCATGGGCCTGGTGCTGAGGACCTTTCTGGGCCTTTTTATGGAAAGTGAAAACACATTTTTTTTTGTTAACACAAATTAAATAGAGAGAGGGGGGGTTATGGGGTGAGAAAGAGGGGGTTATGGGGTGAGAGAGGGGGGGGTTATGGGGTAAAAGAGGGAGGGGAGAGAGAGACGAGCAGGAGGAGGGGGTAGAGAGAGGAGCAGGAGGAGGGGAGAGAGAGAGAGGAGCAGGAGGAGAGGAGGGGAGAGAGAGGAGGAGGAGGAGGGGAGAGAGAGGAGGAGGAGGAGGGGAGAGAGAGAGGAGGAGGGGAGAGAGAGAGGAGGAGGGAGAGAGAGGAGAGAGGAGGAGGGGAGAGAGAGGAGGAGGAGGAGGAGGGGAGAGAGAGAGGAGGAGGAGGAGGAGGAGAGAGAGGAGGAGGAGAGGAGGAGGAGGGGAGGAGAGGAGGAGGAGGAGGAGGGGAGAGAGGAGGAGGAGGAGGAGGAGGGAGAGAGAGAGGAGGAGGAGGAGGGGAGAGAGAGGAGGAGGGGAGAGAGGAGAGAGAGGAGGAGGAGGAGGAGGAGGAGAGAGAGGAGGAGGAGGAGGAGGAGGGGAGAGAGAGGAGGAGAGGAGGAGGAGGGGAGAGAGAGGAGGAGGAGGAGGAGGAGGGGAGGAGAGGGAGAGGAGGAGGCAGGAGGAGGGGAGAGAGAGAGGAGGAGGAGGAGTGAGAGAGAGAGAGAGGAGTAGGAGGAGGGGAGGAGAGGAGGAGCAGGAGGAGGGGAGAGACGAGGAGGAGAGGAGGAGGGGAGAGACGAGAGGAGGAGGAGAGAGAGGGAGGAGGGGAGGAGGAGGAGGAGGGAGGAGGAGAGGGGGGAGAGAGGAGGAGGAGAGAGAGGAGGAGGAGAGAGAGAGGAGGAGGAGAGAGGGAGGAGAGAGGAGGAGGAGGGAGGAGGAGAGAGGAGGAGGAGGAGGAGGAGAGAGGAGGAGGAGGAGGAGGAGGAAGAGAGAGGAGGAGGAGGAGGAGGGGAGAGGAGAGAGGAGGAGGGGAGAGAGAGGAGGGAGGAGGGGAGGGGAGAGAGTTAGGAGGGAGGAGAGGGAGGGGAGGAGAGGGGGGGGAGGAGAGGAGGGGAGAGAGAGGAGGAGGGGAGAGAGAGGAGGAGGGGAGAGAGGAGGAGAGGGGAGAGAGAGGAGGAGGAGGGGAGAGAGAGGAGCAGGAGGAGGGGAGAGAGAGAGGAGGAGGGGAGAGAGAGGAGCAGGAGGAGGGGAGGAGGAGAGGGGAGGAGGGGTGAGAGAGGGAGGAGGGGAGAGAGAGAGGAGGAGGAGGAGGGGAGAGAGAGGAGGAGGAGGAGGGGAGAGAGAGGAGGAGCAGGAGGAGGGGAGAGAGAGAGGAGGAGGGAGAGAGAGGAGGAGGGGAGAGAGAGAGGAGGAGGAGGAGGGGAGAGAGAGGAGGAGGGGGAGAGAGAGGAGGAGGGGAGAGAGAGGAGGAGGAGGAGGGGATCAGAGAGAGAGAGAGGGGGGGGGGGCAATGAGTGGTCAGTAGCCTATCAGGAGGCTGCAAAGTAGGATCTCCGCCCATATTCCCACCCAAGTACTGTGCTCGACTACTAATGGTGATGGGTGGGAGTTTGCCAGCTACTATGAAAGTGGGAGAGGCAAAGTGGAAGCCTTGCTTCCTCTCCCCCATTAGTGCCTAATGTCCACCCAATCTGCACCCCATTAGCGCCTAATTGAGAGGGGGGGGTAAGAGAGAGTGGAAGATGGGGGTGGGAGAGATGGGGGGGGTATAAGAGAGGAAGGAGGGTGTGTGAGAGAGAGAGGGGGTGGTCAGTAGCCTATCAGGAGGTTGCAAAGTAGAATCCCCACATGTAACCTCTCCTAGGTACCACACTCAGCTACTATAGGTGGTGGGCGGAGTTTGTCAGCTATATTGAGAGAGAGAGAAGGGAGATGGGTGCTAGAGGCACAAATTAGCTGCGGCCTGTTCTTATTGGATGGCTGGGCCTATATTAATAATATGGGGGCCTGGAGCTGTGGCCTGCTTCTTGGTGAACTGAAGTAGCCAATAAAGAGCAATATTGTGACTGTTATGCAAAGCTGTTTATTACTGAGTAATACAATGGAATTTCTTTATTTTTTCAGAACAAAGCTTGAAGAGGCAAAGGAAATTCAGAGTCTGAGAAGACGACAAAATGGGGTCAGGTAGGACGTGCAGATCAGTTTATAGATCATGAGGCTGTTATCCAGTGTCTTGTTATTCAATTAAATTCACTTTAACAGCGGCACATTATTATACAAAGATATAGTTGTGCTCAGGTAATTGGACCATTAAAGTGTCCCTATAGCTATTTATTTTTAAAGTGCTAGTGTTTTAGAGCTATGGGCTGGGTGTGCAGTGGGGATTGCTGATTCCTAGAAGTCCCATGTTTATGTTGGTGTACTTCATATAGTTCTGGGGCCCTCCAGTGCAAAAAGCGACCAGCTTCCCGGGTATCTGCTTTTTGCCTGCCCCTTCTATTTGTGAGGCTTCCAATAACAGTGACAGGCCAACAGATAGACACAGGAACCTGTACGGACGATGCCAGCGGCCGTGGAAGCTTGTAACTGTAGAAAGACCAGTAAAATATTCCTGGAAATAGCTATATGGTAGGTGGGTTCTGTAGCAACCGCTGACTGTTACTAAACCCAGGACTCTGCATCCACTATATCTGGTCTCCCACAGTACACACAACATGGAAATGCAATTATTTTATAAATATAAACTGCTAAATACTGTTTCTCATAAGCAGTTAGAGCAGTCTTGTGACTTCTATCAGTGTCCAGCAGAGCACTGGTTAAAGCTTGTAGGAGGAGTTTTATCTCTGCTCTAGGAGGATGCAGAACCCCTGACCTCTGTCTGAACAGTGATGATTGGCTCTGTGCTGATCACATGCACTCTCCAAATAAAAAAATTTAAAAAAAACCTCTCTAGCAATACACACCAAACCAAGTATGGACAGAGTGACTCCATACAATATGTCTTATCCGAGATAAGAAAGGGACACTGGAAGAAGGGGAGGATCAGAGAAGTCAGGATCAAACAGCATTTTTACACAATGCAGAGGATTAACACCTTAGGTTCCATGCTTTACTGTATATACAGACTGATTTTACTGTTGTTGGGTTTAGCAACACTGTAAGGAATGCAGCATCAGCACAGCAAGGATCTTTGAGTAAGTGTCACATGCCTGAAGAAGATGTGCTGCATTAAAGCAAAGCTTTGGCTGAGAAAAGCGGCAGTTTGCTTTAAAATGGGTCAAATATACAAAATTTTAAACAAAAAAACTTCAAAATGCCATTCTAGAAATATTTTACAAAATAATGATATAACTGAAGTAATTATAATTTCCCTCATTCCTAGTATATTTTTAATTAATGGTTTATTTAAAAAATGTATTCACTCCACAGTGCTGCAGCCCTTCTGGTGGGTGAGAAGTTGCCAGAAGAAGCAATACTAGTGGTAAGTTTGACCTGAGAGATCTGTAGGCTGCTTATGTTGGTGTAGTCACTGTAGGCAAGCTTGTTGAGAATTCAGAACCCCATTAACCCCTTCAGGCCTAAGGGTAAAACACATCTTAATGCCTGAGCACAATTTTGCAACTTTGACATGTGTTAGTAAAAACCGTACATATCATCACAACTACTTTCTGCATCCAGGTGAATTATACCTTGGTTTTTTTTGGGGTTTTTTTTTTTTTTTTTTTTTTCAGAACAAATTGGGCTTTTATTTATTTGTAAATGGTTATGGGTATCTTCTGGTTTTACTTTATTATTAAAGAAAACTGGCTCAAAATAGTAAAAAAAATCTTTTTTTAATTTAGCTGTCTATTTCTTGTTACTACCATAGCCTACTAACAAAGAACAACCCAAAATAAAAAAATCTCCTGCTCCTGATGATTGCAGCAAGGCCACATATTTGTATGTTGTTTGTAGCCATAGTAGAGCCCAGAAACAATAGTAGGTATTTTGCTTTTTTTTTTTTTTTTAATGTCCTACCTAAAACACACTGACACTAAGGCTACTTTTATACTGAGGAGTTTTTTACAGGGTTAGTTGTTTGGGTCAAGAAAGAATCAAAGACCAAGGTCAGGGTCAGTATATTTTGGGCAGGAGTTGTTTTTTTATTTTAATATCAGTGTCAGTTAGGCTACTTTCACACGGATTCATCGCAAAAATGCATATGTATTTTTAATGCGTTTTTTTTACCGTGCTTTTTAAATGGCAGGTGCCTTTAAAAACTGCAGTAAAAACGCTTCTTGGAGGTGGTTTTGAAGTGTTTGGGGAAGACACTTTTTTTTTTTTTTTTTTTTAACTGAACAAGCATGCTCCAAAGATGCTGAAAGCAGGAGTTTTTACACCACAACAGAAGTGTAACGCCCCAGTGTGAAAATATATATAGGGAAGCATTTTTCTTGAGCTTTTATTAATGTAAAAGCAGTTAAAAAAAAAAAAACTCTTCCCCAAACACTTCAAAACCACCTCCAAGAAGCGTTTTTCTGCAGTTTTTAAGGAACCTGCCATTTAAAAAGCGCAGTAAAAAAAACGCATTAAAATACATATGCATTTTTGTGATGAATCCGTGTGAAAGTAGCCTACCTGACACTGATATTTAAAAAAACAAAAAAAAAAAACTCCTGCCCAAAATATACTGACCCTGACCTTGGTCTTTGATCCTTTCTTGACCCAAACAACTAACCCTGGCACTGACCTAGATCAAACCTTGATCTAGGTATTTTTTTATTTTTTAAAATATTTATTTACTTTATATAGTTTGTTTTTTTTTTTCTCACAAAGGAAAGAGAGATCCAATGTATCTCTCGCATCCATTCAAGGAGAGAAAACACAGGGGTGGGCTTCACAGTGACTTATCACTGTAATAGCTGAGCAGAGGCTGTCACAGCAATCAGGTGACCGGAATCAGAAGTTCCGAGACCCGGGGCTCACAGTGAGCGACAAAAGGAGATACGGAAATATGCAACATTATGGCAAAAAGCCCAGTGCAGTGGGGCCGCGTGTTTGTGTGAGGTGGGTGCCAAGGGGTTAATGACTAGTCATGGCAGTTTAAAAAGGCTTTCTTTGCGGGCTATAATGCCATAGTGCACCACTAACTCCTGACCTCTCCACAGATCATATGCAGTTCAGGGTAATGGTTCTTTTCATGGACTTTTAAGAAAATAGAATAATTTCTAACTGCCAATCATTTTGAAAGGCCTGTGACATTGACTGTACATCCTATATGAAAATTCTCTGTGCAAAACGTTTTTTTGTGGTCGTGTTGGATGGAGCCTGAGAAGAGGAGGATCCAGGCTGCTCTGTGCAAAACCACTGCACACAGCAGGTAAGTATGAAATGTTTATTATGTTAAAAAAAAAAAAAAGACTTTATCACTTTAAGCGTCAGACATTTTTGGATGGATGTTTGTAAAATATATAAAAAGTGGCCTTCGTAATGAAATGTTTGGAGACCCCTGAGTTAGGGCATTGTTTTTTCAGAAAAGTATCTGGTTCCTTTTTAAGCTTGCATGATGTTGGTCAAATTTAGATTGTTTGTTTATTTTATTTCAGGACGATCCATTTAAAATCAAAAGTGGAGGGATGGTAGATATGAAAAAACTGAAAGACCTTGGAAAGGATAGGTAAAATTCTTTTCTTCTGCAAATATTAATTTCCTTTATATTTGGTCATTTACTGTTTGAGATGTGTGAAGTAATGTCACTTATCTTTATAATGCCCTTTCTTCTTTAGGATTGGAGACGAAGAAGATCTGAACTTAGGAACATCATTTTCAGCAGAAACCAATCGGCGAGATGAAGATGCTGACATGTACGTTTTGGGTTGGGAGTTCAAAATTGTTAATGTACTCAGAGTTATATGCAGGGCTTTTTTTCAGCAGGAATGTGGGGGATGCAGTTCCAGCACTGAATGTATGTAATGGCAATGCTGGAGTGTGCTGAAGGGTCTAATGATGCTGTGCTGGGGGGTGGGGGCATGGGTTTCTATTGTTTCTGGGTAAGTCTACTGTTGCTGGAGAATTGTTTGTTGCTGGGAGGGATCTACTGTTGAGGGAGAGCTCTTTTGTTGCTGGGCTGCTGGGAGATCTGTTGGTTTTTGCTATTGTTGCTTGGGTGATATTTTGTTGTGGGGCATCCATTGTTTGCTGGGGGGGGGTCTTGTGTGTGTGTGTGTGTGTGTGTGTGTGTGTGTGTGTGTGTGTGTGTGTGTGTGTGTGTGTGTGTGTGTGTGTGTGTGTGTGTGTGTGTGTGTGTGTGTGTGTGTGTGTGTGTGTGTGTGTGTGTGTGTGTGTGTGTGTGTGTGTGTGTGTGTGTGGTGTGTGTGTGTGTGTGTGTGTGTGTGTGTGTGTGTCGGGGGGGATCTGTTACTAGTTCTACTGTTGCTGGGCTGGGGTCTATTGTTGCTCACTGCAGGGTATCATTTTACTCTCTTTCATGTTCTCATTAACAATTTACATACAAATTATTCAGTAGCACAAACTGATAATTGGTTCTATATTCTCTAAAAGGGGTGGTACTGGGAGGTGGGTAGGGGGTGGAACCAAGGGATGGTGCTCAGAGGTGGGTAGGGAGCTGGAACCAAGGGATGGTGCTCAGAGGTGGGTAGTGGGTAGAACCAAGAGACAGTGCTCAGAGGTGGATAGGGGGTGGAACAAGGGACGGTGCTCAGAGGTGGGTAGGGGGTGGAACCAAGGGACATCCTCAGAGGTGGGTAAGGGGTGGAACAAAGGGACGGTGCTCAGAGGTGGGTAAGGGGTGGAACCAAGGGACGATGGTAGCGGGTGGAACCAAGGGACAGTACTCAGAGGTGGGTAGGGAGCTGGAACCAAGGGATGGTGCTCAGAGGTGGGTAGTGGGTAGAACCAAGGAACAGTGCTCAGAGGTGGAACAAGGGATTGTGCTCAGAGGTGGGTAGAACCAAGGGACAGTGCTCAGAGGTGGATAGGGGGTGGAACCAAGGGACAATGCTCAGAGGTGGGTAGGGGGTGGAAGCAAGGGATGGTGCTCAGAGGTGGGTAAGGGGTGGAACCAAGGGACAATGCTCAGGGGTGGGTAGGGGTTGGAACCAAGGGACGTGCTCAGATGTGGGTAGGGGTGGAACCAAGGGACGGTGCTCAGAGGTGGGTAAGGGGTGTAACCAAGGGACGACAGTAGGGGGTGGAACCAAGGGACAGTACTCAGAGGTGGGTAGGGGGTGGAACCAAGGGACAGTGCTCAGAGGTGGGTAGGGGGTGGAACCAAGGGACAGTGCACAGAGGTGGGTAGGGGGTACCAAGGGACAGTGCACAAAGGTGGGTAGGGGGTGGAACCAAGGGACAGTGCACAAGGTGGGTAGGGGGTGGAACCAAGGGACAGTGCACAGAGGTGGGTAGGGGGTGGAACCAAGGGACAGTGCTCAGAGGTGGGTAGGGGGTGGAACCAAGGGACAGTGCACAGAGGTGGGTAGGGGGTTGAACCAAGGGACGGTGCTCAGAGGTTGGTAGGGCGCAGAGACAAAGAGTGACTCAGAAGGGGGGAGTCCCTACACCTATTCTCTGAGGAAAAAAAGCCCTGGTTATATGCAAAAAAAATTAAAATACACTTGTCAACTAATAAGTAGATTAAAGCAGACCTCCAGCCAAAGAGCCAAGTGCACAGTACAAATACGTATATCTTGACTGTTTTCCCAACCTGAATATGTATCATTTTATTCTGTTCAGAAACCAACATTTTTCATTTTAACCTTACCAATGCCACTGTTGTGATTTCAGGATGAAGTACATTGAGACAGAGCTAAAAAAGAGAAAGGGAATAATTGAGAATGAGGAGAAGAAAGTGAAGCCTAAGAGTGCAGAAGATTGCTTGTATGAGCTCCCCGAAAGCATCAAGGTCTCTTCTGCCAAGAAGACAGAGGAAATGTTATCCAACCAGATGCTGAGCGGAATCCCAGAGGTGGATTTGGGTATAGAGTAAGTGTCATGATCATTTTGTGGTCATATGCAAATTATTTAACGATAAATCCTCCTTCAGAACACCTTAGATCCTTTTAATATGTTCAGACCAATTAAGCAAGTTTGCAAATGCACACTTACTTTATCTTCATTTCTTTTGCTGTTCCTTGTGATTTGTACTCGTACCTCTCATATAGAATAATTTTTTTGGCTATACTTGTGTGTGCACAGGGGTCTATTTGCATACAGAATATATCAAAGGGAGCATCCTTGCCATCATTCTCCTCCTCTTGCCCATCTCCTTTTAAGAAGTCACTAAAGGCATTTGCTGTACAAAAAGGATGATTAGGGGAAATGACGTTGAACTGAACAACAACAATTATTTCTATAATATCGTAAAAGTTCCATAATCCCTTTGCTTCAGGCTTATGGTTATCTGAAAAGTTCCTTCAACCATTTCATATATGATTAACTAGCAATGTTCATTCTTACTTTACTACTTTGCTTTTCTAGATGTTTTTTTTTTTTTTTATTACTAGAGTTTTTTTTTCCTCAATTCAGCTTTATGTTCTAAAATGCATTGCTTCTTTCTTTTGATTTTCTTTTCTTTCTTTTTTTTAGTGCAAAAATAAAGAATATAATCTCCACAGAGGAGGCTAAAGCCCGTTTATTGGCTGAGCAACAGAATAAAAAAAAAGGACAAACAGACCTCCTTTGTACCAACCAACATGGCTGTCAACTATGTTCAGCACAATCGATGTAAGAGAAATAGCTGAAGACATGGGGTTTGATTTACTAAAACTGGAGAGGGTAAAATCTGGTGCAGCTGTGTATGGTAGCCAATCAGCTTCTCACTTCAGCTTGTTCACTCAAGCTTTGACAACAAATACTGGAAGCTGATTGGTTTCTATGCAGAACTGCAGCAGATTTTGCACTCTCCCAGTTTTAGTAAATCTATCCTATGGTGTGCACTGTACTTGGAGACAATCTCTGCTCTCATTTCTGAGCATGAACCTTTTTTTTTTACAGCATTCCAGGGCTATCAGTATGTCAGGGAGTGTAGGCAGCAGACTTTAAAAACTACTGCTACGATAAAAGGAATCAAAGAAAAAGCTACTTAGAAGGTGAAAGTGCAAACATAGATGTAGATTTGTAGATGTAGAAATGTAGATTTGCATTGCGATAAGATTACCGATGTGTCTCATTCTGGACATTGGAGGCATACGTTGTGTCCCCATATTTTAAGTGTTTTTATGTGCTGGGTGTTTCAGCACCAGCCACTTTAGGTACTATTAAACACGCACAACTATGAACAGAATATGTAGTGTGGATATATAGAATAGAAACCATAGAGTATCATAAAACCAACTTTATTATGTACCATCAGGGATGTTGAATTTATATCGCCCGACGCCTGGGACATGTAGTTCCGGGCACCAGGCAGGTCATTTTTTTTTTTTTTTAACTTTTAGCCCTGCTGCTGGGAAGTGCACAGCTCACCTGTCAGGTGAAAGCATTCAGGCAGCCGCACTGCTTCCCGATTGCTTTTACATAGCCCACAGTGCCAGCCTTCATCTCCCACAACCCTGTGCAGGCTTTAAGCTCACTCCTGCAGATGTACAGTGTGGTGAGTATAAGCAACTATAGGGACTGTCATTGAAGTGAATCCGTTGGTTTGCCCATGCAAGGGACAGTTTATTTTAAAACATATCTACACCCAAAAACCAAATTGTTATATATTGCTGCTTCCCAATAAATTCCAACCTGTGAGATAACCATGTGTGTAGACACGTAGGGACAGAAAAGGGGAGATTTACTAAAACTGGACCACTCAAAATTTGGTACAGCTGTGCATGGTAGCCAATCAGCTTCTAATACCCTGGTCACATCAAGCCCGACTTTGAAATCTTGCAACTTACAGTGAAGTCGCACAATTTCAAAGTCGTGGGACATGCTGATTTCAGGTGCGATTTGCAAGACATCTGATACAGATGTCTATGCAAATCGCACAAAAAGTAGTGCATGTACTACTTTAGAAATCGGTGCGGCTCTGACCGTGTCGGAACTGCACCGATATGACCACTCCAATTGTGGATAATAGGCTGCAATTTGGCATGCCGTTTGCAAGTCGCATGGCATGCAAATCGCATGCCAAATCGCATCCAGTGTGACCGGGGTGTAACTTCAGCTTTGACAAGAAGGCCTCATGCACACAGGATGTTTATTTAACTCTCCTAGAAACCAGCAGCATTTTTTAGCACAAAAAGCGTTTAAAGCCTTTACAAGCTTTTAGGAGCTCTTGCGCATTAATTCATTTTATTGGCCAGAATAAATCATTTCTTCTGGCCATTAAAATGAATTAATGCTCAAGCATGTTTAGCAGCTTTTTTAGTGGCGTCAAGCGTGTTTTCTACCCAAACTCTGCTGCTTCTGGACACACTGGCAGTGAGTTTTTTTTTTCCTGCCTCTAAAAGCCTTGCCACTGAAAGCTTCTAAAAGTCTAAATGTGCATGGACACATAGGATAACGTGAAGGGGTGTTTTGGAAACGGTTTAAAAAAAAAAAAAAAAACCTGACATCCCTAAAAGTAGCTGCAAAAACACCCTGTGTGCATGAGGCCTAAAACCTGGAAGCTGATTGGTTTCTATGCAGAGCTGCACCAGATTTTGCACTCTCCAGTTTTAATAAATCTCCCCCTAAGTGGGTTATGCATAGGATTAGCAGGTGAAGAAAAGCCTGAAAGAGTACTAGCGCCTCAACTACATCTAAGGACTGGTAAGCTGAAATTCTTTTCTGTTGTTGGGTTTAGATACGCTTAGATAAGCTGGTCACTTCCATACACATATCTAATCTTTTGCACTTTGCAGATTTTCTTTAATCCATTCATAATTTCTCATCCAGTTTACCAGGAGGACCTGAATACTCCCATAAGACGTCACAAAGAGGAACCCAAAGCCCGACCTCTCCGTGTAGGAGACACAGAGAAGCCAGAACCAGAGAGTAAGTATGACCTATGGCCAACATATGTAAAACCTCTATTTCCCCTTTTAAATGCATCATTGAATCCAAGGCATGCTCATAAATGCAGCAGGAAAAAATTGTGTTGGGTGGTATGCAGTAGTGTGTGTATATGTGTGTGTGTGTATGTGTTATCATCGCTTTGTACATGGGAATATCTTCCCGATATCAAGCAAGCAAATTATCCTAGAATTATACATAGCTGTACACGCTCCCCAAACCATACAGGGCACAGCGAGTAATTCATACATTTTGTGATGTTAACCATGACAAGGATACCAGCGAGGAAAATGCCGCTCTTCTCTACCAGGAAACAAAAAATTATTTACATAACCAGAACCTGTCGTAGAATCCATACACACCTGCTACTCAACCATTGGATACAAACACCAATGCAGGCCATAGACGGATCGAAAATCGGACGATTTTCGCACCGTTAATGGGTTAATTGGTCAGCTGTTTTTTGGGTTTTGGCACATTTTTTTTTATTGGTGAAGTTGGAAAAAAAAAAAAAACGGCCGATTTTCCCGGCAATGATGGGCAAATCAGCCGACTTTTTACCAATAAAAAATGTGGGAGGAGGAGGAGGATATGTGACATGAAAAAGTATTGCGGTTGCAACAATGTATCTATTTGTATCCGAAGAAAAACATCTGTATCCGAAATGGATACATTGTTGCAACCGCAATACTTTTTCATGTCAAATATAATAGCGGAGCTCTCTGCAGGGACAGAAGTAATTAAATGCCGGCCGTAGACGGGACGAACATCGGCGGTTTTTTTTTTTTTTTTTTTTTTTTTTCCTTACCGTTGGTGGAAATGTTGGCCTATTGAACGACCTGATTTTTTTTTTTTCTTTTTTACATAAAAAAAAAAAACGGCCAGTTTTCAACCTGTCTATGGCCTGCAAAAGTGACCATGAATACTTGTAATTACCATAGCATGAGCCAAGTGATTTATTATAAACTTTAACAATGAAAAATCTATAAGGATAATAGAGCCAGCGGAGCTAGACCTGGGTCTGCAACCATGGATCCCATAGCTTTTTGAATCTGCGAGGGGTACCCTTTTGTTGAAAGGTAGTTTAATGATTTTGTTTTATTTATAGGTTTTAATTATTTTTCATGTTTATTCATGTATTATTGTCCTCTGTATATTAGTGGGTAGATTCTAACCAATCACACTGGTTTGTTTTAGAAGAATTTGCCTTCTGTTGTCCGGCACCATATTCTCAGTGCTCTTAAAGTAAACTTGTGCTTGGATCCAAGCAGGGCAACACATTGGTTTCCCTTATCTGCCAGTTGCCCCAGCCGTTCTTCCCTCCTGTCCCTCTCTGTTGGAAGCATGTAGCACATTTTCCTTCATCCTATGTTACATTGCTGGTGCTTGGTTATTGGAAGTTTAATGCACCACTGGTATCGCACAGGTACAGAGAAAGAGCCCTTACACCCCGGTCACATTGATCCTGACTGTGAAATCGTGCAACTTATTATTATTTATTTCAGGTACTTATATAGCGCCATCAATTTACACAGCGCTTTACATATATATATATATTGTATGTTCACATCACTCCCTAACCCTCAAGGGGCGTACAATCTAAGGTCCCTAACTCGCATTCATACATACCCATACTAGGGCCAATTTAGACAGGAGCCAATTAACCTACCAAAGATCGAAAATCCTCCTGCGCTTTACAAATGGAACTAACTAAACCTTTTACTTTAAGCTGCCAGCACTCAAAAACTGATACCAAATAACAGTGTCAATGAATAGTAAATGAACAGTGCAGCGCTCTGAAAAACTAAAATTCAATAATAATAACAACAACAAAGATAGCAATAGTGATATGAATAAAAAATTAGTGCCAACCCATATAAAAAATAAAAATAAAAAAATTAAGTGCAAAAACCGTGACCATAAAAATAATGTGCCCGCGATTAAGTATGATATTTGACACTCCAAGCGTCATCCAAAAAAAACTTTAGCAGTGCTCACAAAGTGCCACAACAATAAATCCACATAATATATATATCAAATGCAATATCCTTTTAGTGGAATATAAAACAAATCATGCGATGTGCAGCAGTGATATAAAATATACATAGATCAACATATATATCACCAAAATGAATCAACATAGGTATATACAATATTAAGAGCAATGTCCTTATGTTGAAAAATAAAGCAAATCATGCGATGTGCAACAGTGAATGAAAAACGTGACTGTGCAAAGCTCCTCTTTTGTTAATGGCTAGATTGCCTCCTCACCTCCTCCCACTGACCCCAAAGGGCCAACAGGCTTGCAGGATCACCCTGGATCCTTAGTATGTAATGGCCAGCAGCTTCCTTCCTTCCCTGGATCTCCTTTACAGGGTTCCCAGTACCCTTATTCAGTCAGGGCGGTCCTGAAGAGTAATAGCTCACCAATCCAGTGAGCCAAAAAAAACTCTCTAAGTGCAGTATTGAGTCAACTTCATTTATTTCATATAGAGTAAAAAAGGTTTAACACTCACATTGCAGACAATCTTCCCTCCTCACTGATGTGTGGGTGTACTGCATGCGAGTGGGACCTCTCGGGTATAGCAAGATGGCGTCTCACGCCGGAAGTGCGTCACCACGCACCGGAACTACGGACTCGCGTACCTACGCGTTACGTCACCGTCTACTCGTGACTTCATCTGGGTAACCTGGTTACCCAGATGAAGTCACGAGTAGACGGTGACGTAACGCGTAGGTACGCGAGTCCGTAGTTCCGGTGCGTGGTGACGCACTTCCGGCGTGAGACGCCATCTTGCTATACCCGAGAGGTCCCACTCGCATGCAGTACACCCACACATCAGTGAGGAGGGAAGATTGTCTGCAATGTGAGTGTTAAACCTTTTTTACTCTATATGAAATAAATGAAGTTGACTCAATACTGCACTTAGAGAGTTTTTTTTGGCTCACTGGATTGGTGAGCTATTACTCTTCAGGACCGCCCTGACTGAATAAGGGTACTGGGAACCCTGTAAAGGAGATCCAGGGAAGGAAGGAAGCTGCTGGCCATTACATACTAAGGATCCAGGGTGATCCTGCAAGCCTGTTGGCCCTTTGGGGTCAGTGGGGAGGAGGTGAGGAGGCAATCTAGCCATTAACAAAAGAGGAGCTTTGCACAGTCACGTTTTTCATTCACTGTTGCACATCGCATGATTTGCTTTATTTTTCAACATAAGGACATTGCTCTTAATATTGTATATACCTATGTTGATTCATTTTGGTGATATATATGTTGATCTATGTATATTTTATATCACTGCTGCACATCGCATGATTTGTTTTATATTCCACTAAAAGGATATTGCATTTGATATATATATTATGTGGATTTATTGTTGTGGCACTTTGTGAGCACTGCTAAAGTTTTTTTTGGATGACGCTTGGAGTGTCAAATATCATACTTAATCGCGGGCACATTATTTTTATGGTCACGGTTTTTGCACTTAATTTTTTTATTTTTATTTTTTATATGGGTTGGCACTAATTTTTTATTCATATCACTATTGCTATCTTTGTTGTTATTATTATTATTGAATTTTAGTTTTTCAGAGCGTTTAATTAACCTACCAACATGTCTTTGGAGTGTGGGAGGAAACTGGAGTACCCGGAGGAAACCCACGCAGGCACAGGGAGAACATGCAAACTCCAGGCAGGTGGTGCTGTGGCTGGGATTCGAACCAACGAACCTAGTACTGCCAGGGGGAAGTGCTAACCATTTAGCCACTGTACTGCCCCGTACTGTAAGTCTCACGATTTCAAAGTCGGGATGTCATTGCGATTTCAGGTGCGATTTGCAAGAAATCTGACACAGATGTCTATGCAAATCGCCGCAAAAGCAGTGCATGCTCTACTTTAGAAATGGGTGCTGCTCCGACCAAGTCGGAACCGCACCGATATGAACGCTGTAATTGCGGACAATAGGGTGCGACTTGGCATGCAATTCGCATGGCATGCAAATTGCATGCCAAGTCACACCCAGGGGTCTTAAACTTGTGTAACCTCCAAATTACAGCTTTCTCAAGGCTTCTTCTCTTCTTTCCAATCTTCTAAGTAGAGAACCAGGAAAAGAAAAGTGAAGCGATTATGTGCATTTGGGAAAGGGGAAGGAGGTGTTGGTGACAAAGTAAAACTGTTGTTGCCCTGCTTGGACAAACCACAGATTCACTTTACTGCTAAATACTCAAAAGACGTCTGGGGGACTCTTTTTTTTTTTTTTTTTTTTTTATACATATTCACAGGACTATAATATCCTCATTGCTCAGCCTATTACTGTGAATCGGCAGAAATTGCTGCTGAGAGTGGATAATAGTTTGCATCGCTGGAAGTTTAATTGCAGAACCCTGTCAGAATGGAGAAAAGGAGATTTTACTGTCCGTTAGGGAAACTGTTCTTTATGGTAATAGTGACTGAACTGTGAAATGCTCTACAATAGCAAGTAATAACTAGAAAATCTACAATTTCTGGGGAAATTGTGTGAAGTGTTCTTGCCTCCACCAGTAGTCTGCAACTGGAGTGGGTGGAGTAGCTTTTGACACTCAGTTGCGTGCTCATACGCCTGGGTTCCTATGGCAACTCCCTCTACAGCAAGGGCAGAGGAGCGGTTATAAACCAACTGCTCCAACTTGCTCACTTCACTGGCGGTTGCCATCTTCAAACGGTTGTAGCTTTAAAACTGTGAGAGAACTGAAGAGCTTTATATTGTGAGAATCACAAGACCCAGACCTACATTTTGATGCATAGTATGTCTCTGAAATATTAAAAATGAAGGCACAGTCAAGGTTTAAATATTGCCCATCAAATTTCAGGTGTCTAGAGTGGATTTTCAATGAATGTCAATAGGCAGCGTGAGTTGCACACAAACAGTCATATTGTGAAAACTATCAGGACTATGGCTTAGTCGCGAACATTTTTAGTGGCAGCAGGGATAGGTGAACGTTTTGATATACGATATGTGTAGGTGGGCTTGAAAATGAGGGAGTGATGGCAGTTTAGAAATCATGTCCTGATTTTTCAGCTCACACTCTAGTTTTGAACATTCTGCCATTCATTCCTATGGGAAAAGTTCACCACAAAAACGATGATATTTCGTGAACCATTGGGCGAAACGTTCCATAAAGTAATAACACACCAATCGGGAACAATCTGCACGTTTCGGTATATTACTGTCTATGTAGTGTAAAAACTGTGATAGGAGTTAGGGTGGTAAATCTGGCTATAATAATAAGAATATATTTGTGAGATAATAGGAAGTGGGCTTGCCATGCAAGAACACTTGATGACAAAATTGATAACTATATTTATATATGTAACTAATGGTATCCTCATTTCCAGTTACTAAGGGAAGAATAGTAATATTTTTGTATTCAGCAAATTGATGACTGGCTTGTCGAGTCAGTAAGGATTTTTTTTTATCTCTAATGAAAGGCGAAATTCGCCAGGGGGATTTTTTTTACCTTCCACTTGATCAGAACTGCTGAAGTTTATGAGCAGATGAACTAGATGCAAGCTAGATTTCATGACCATCTGTTTCCACCAATATGATACAATACAAAAATATCCTGTATGCAATTTGTCATGCAAGTTAATCGACGACAAAAAAAATACCATAGCAGTGTGCACTGAAGTGAAGATTTGTTGTGTCATAGACCACATATAGAAATATTAATTTTGCCTAAGCAATGACCCGAAAATGTACCTTTTTTGCCTGCAATCTCCCCCCAAAAATAGCGCTTTTTGATATGTGACTCTGTCTAATTCTGTGGCCTCACAGCTGTATGTCTGCAGTATGAAATCACCTCTAAAGTACTGTTGCATGTGGCCACTAGTTTCATGTTTGGAGCGAGATTTGGTAATGTCACTACTGTGCTGCTTGCTGGAGTGAAAGCTGTACCTGAGAGCCTACATTGCAGGGACTCCCTGCTTCTGCTTTATTCATTCTTTTGGATATGTGCTTTCTACACCTCTTCTGCTGCTGCCCCAGACACCAGGGGGCGAGGGCATTCTGAAACTAGGAAGCAAGGCCCTGCTCTTTTAGAAAGACAGGCCACCTCCAAAAAGATACACAGTGTAAAACAAAGTATGGTATATCAGTAATGGAGGGAAAATGAGCTGCAGGGAGTCTGCAAGCAATAATAGCGACTAATCCTTTGTGCACAAAAAAAGACTGAGTAAGGACAATTTCCACTTTATAGGTTAATACTCTTTAATACCTGCATTCTGCTGTGATAAATTGTTCATAGAAACAATTTTTTTTTTCCTTTTCATTAACACATGTGGGCAAGAATATTTAAAGCTAAGAGCTAAATTTACCTTTTCTTCAATGGTCCTTGTCCCACACTGGCATCTTCACGGAATGCTGTTACTCCTGCAAATGCGCAGCAGTCAGTCATCCCAGCACACAGGGACCGTGCTTGCAATGTAAGTTGAGCTGCGCAGGCACAGCTCAGTTTACCTGCTGGAGAAAGCAACAAGCAGGCCGGTAGTTGTATTTTATTGCAGAAGAGACATTGCATGGAATGAGTTCCACTTTAAGTTGCTTTGTTTAACTTGTGTATAAAGAACGCATAAAAAAAACTTTTATCTTCTGATTATTCATCCTTAGAGTCTCCACCCAACCGCAAGCGTCCATCAAACGAGAAGGCCACGGATGACTATCATTATGAAAAGTTCAAGAAAATGAATAGGCGTTACTGAACTCAGCACCAAGGACTATAGACTGTACAAAGTTCATACATCTGACAAAACTTGTTCTATTCATATTTCTTTCTGGGGCCTATGTATGAAAGGGCAGATTTAGTATTGTTAACAGTATATGATGACAACAACCTAATGGCTCTTTTTTTTCCAGAACATTTTCATCATTCAGAATATTCTTTTGTAAATTTTGTTTTATGTGTGTGTGTGTGTAATTCACTATTTTTAACATTGCATTTTGACATTGTAACTTGGGCCTTTCAACACAAGGAAACCTTTGGTAAAGAGAGAGCAGTTACTGTGTGTGGCAACTTTCATAAACATTTAATTCTTTCTTTCAAGTGACCCATTCTGTCAAATAACAAGGTTTGTGTAGCAAGAAGAAATTACAATGTAGCAAAATAAATGAAATAGGCAAACACTCCCTTGGTAAATAGCCATGTTTATTTTATCCTAATCTAAACCGCTTACCCACTGCCGTATAGCAGATATACTGCTACGCGGCAGCACGGGTGCGCAAAAAAAATATATATATATACACACGCACGCGCATGATTTAGCATTTCCAGGTAGGGGGTGTGCGCGAGCCACGCCACCATTCGCAGCCACGGATGTCAATCACCTGGTACCAGCCGGTGATTACCCACCAGTGCGCGGTGATTACTGTTTTGTTTACAGTTTTCCTCCCTGGCAGCTCAGGCACAGCACAGTCAACCTGATCAGTGTGCTTACAGTAAAGCACCCCCGCCCCCTAGTAAAACACTCCATACACACAGTTAACCCTTTGATTGCCCCTCACATTAACCCCTTCCTGATCAGTGTCATTAGTACAGTGTCAGTGCTGTTTTTTAGTACTGATCACTGTATTGGTGTCACTGGGGATGTCAGTGACACCAAGTTTAGTTCCCCCCAATGTCAGAATGCCCACTAAAAGTCGCTGATCGCCGTCATTTATAAACGCTATAACGTTCACGCAAACCAATTAATTTACACGTATTGGGATTTTTTTTTTTTTTTTTTTAGCAAAGACATGTTGCAGAGTACATTTTGGCCTAAATTTATGACGAAATTTGATTTTTTTTAAAAAAAAATTTACAGGACATGTTTAACAGCAAAAAGTCCAAAATACTGCTTTTTGTTTTTTTTTTTCTCAAACTTGTTGGTCCTTTTTGTTTTATAGCGCAAAAAATAAACGCAAAAAAATAAAAAAGAAAGCTCAATTTGTGGGGGGAAAAAAAGACGTAAATTTCATTTGGGTGCAGTGTTGCATGACCATGCAATTGTCAGTTAAAGTAGCGCAGCGCTGTAATGCAAAAAATGGCCTGGTCAGGAACGGAGGTACATCCTCTGTAGGGCAAGTGGTTAAATCCGCAACATATGTATGTGCTTGCACATTCAAGCTACGCAAGTCTTTTCAGAAATCTCAGGTTGTGTATGCTTTTGCTTTTATTCATGGCAGCCTCAGGTTCTCGGCACATTTGTATTTTGGGTTTCATCAAGCCTTTCCTCATGCAGATTCATGTTGGTCTGTGCTTTTGCATTTTGGGCTTATACAATCTCTTACTCATAGTAGCTCCGGGTTGTTCATTCTTACACATTTCAGGCTACATAAGCCTTTACGCATAGCAGCCTCAGGTTTTATGTGTTTCAGGCTATGCAGGCATTTACTATCAGCATCCTCAGTTTCTTAGTACATTTGCATTTTGGTTTTATACAATCCCTTATACTTCAGAAGCTTCAGGTTGTCTGTGCTTTTGCGTTTCAAGATATGCAAGCCCCTACTAATTGCAACCTCAGGTTGTTTGTGTTTTGGGCTATTCAAGCCTTTACTCATAGCAACCTCAAGTTGTTTGTGCTAATGCGTTTTGGGCTTATATCAACCTCAGAAAAAAGCCTGTGTATAGTCCAACGTTTGTGTTGCTGGTTTTAACCAGGTATAAAATACAGAGAGCTATTATATTCTAGCAAGAATTTGGTGACTTGTTATAATACACACCCACACACGAAGGAATCTGCAGCTACGCTTTCTTCTTTGTCTAACCCAAACATGGAAACGTTTCCTGCTCAGTGTTTTCCTGCTTTATTTAATGGTCCAGAGTAATTTATCACATCATTAACCAAGTGCATCAAAGTATTGCTGGTTAAGTAGAACTATATCCACCTGTGCGACCTGTTTTGGTGGTCATCTTTATGTAAGCTGTACGTTTTTGTTATATTTTAAATGAGATGCCACGAAAATAAATTATGGTTAGCAATGTTTTATTACAACCAATTGTGTAATCATCATTCATAAAAATACAACTAGTTTAAATAGATATCCCTCATCTTCTGCTGTCCTATCCTAGTGATGCTTTAGCTGTTTTTACTCCAAAAGCAAAATTCTCTCTGTTATATATTAGTGTTTTTTTTACTTTAGAACCGCATGACCTCTGGTCTCTAATCAGTAAAGTGTGTGGCAGTCTTTGTCTCAGGCTTGCTAACAGTGAATAATGCCAGTACAGTGACAACATATAAAAAATCATTATTTATTGTAGTACAACTTTGCAGACAAAGTTTTTTAGAGCAATGGCTGTCAACTTGATAGGAATAGGGAGTCTCAGCTGCGGTCCCTCAAATTACTTAAGGCCCGCACCTTAAGTTCAGTTCATATACACTGCTCAAAAAAAATTAAACGAAGTTTGAAAACACATCAGATCTCAATGGGGAAGAATACTGGATATCTATACTGATATGGACTGGGTAATGTGTTAGGAATGTAAGGATGCCCCATGGTTTTGATGGAAATGAAAATTAATCAACCTACAGAGGACTGAACTCAGAGACACCCTGAAAATCAAAGTGAAAAAATAGATGCAGCAGGCTAGTCCATTTTGCTGAAATTTCATTGCAGCAACTCAAAATGGTACTCAGTAGTTTGTATGGCCCCCATATGCTTGTATGCATACCTGACAACGTTGGGGCACGCTCCTAATGAAAGGACGGATGGTTCCTGGGGTAATTTCCTCCCAGATCTGGACCAGGGCATCACTGAGCTCTTGGACAGTCTGAGGTGCAACCTGGCGGCATCTGATGGACTGAAACATGATATCCCAAAGGTGTTCTATTGGATTTAGGTCAGGTGAGCGTGGGGCCATTCAATGGTATCAATTGCTTCATCCTCCAGGAACTGCCTGCATACTCTCGCCACATGAGGCTGGGCATTGTCGTGCACCAGGAGGAATACAGGACCCACTGCACCAGCGTAGGGTCTGACGATGGGATCCAAGTATTTCATCCCGATACCTAATGGCAGTCAGGGTGCCATTGTTTAGCCTGTAGGGGTCTGTGCGTCCCTCCATGGATATGCCTACCCAGACAATCACTGACTGACCAACCACCAAAATGGTCATAGCTGCTAACGATGTTAACAGGGTAAGAATAACACATTCTCCATGGCTTCTCCAGACCCTTTCACGTCTTCATGTGCTCAGGCATGAACCTGCTCTCATCCTGTCAAAAGCACAGGGTGCCAGTGGCGAACCTGCCAATTCTGGTGTTCAATGGCAAATGCCAATTGAGATCTATGGTGCCTGGGGCAGCGAGCACATGGCGCAATAGAGGACCTCAGGACCATCCTCAATGAAGTCAATCTTCTTATTTTGAGATTGGTCAGAGACATTCACCCCAGTGGCCTGCTGGAGGTCATTTTGTAGGGCTCTGTCAGTGCTCATCCTGTTCCTCCTTCGCACAAAGGAGCAGAAAGTACTGGTTCTACTGATGGGGTTCAGGGACCTTTCAACGGCCCTGTCCAGCTTCTCCCTAGGATAACTGCCTGTCTCTGCAGGAATCTCCTCCCATGCTCTTGAGACTGTGCTTGGGAGACAACAGCAAACCTGGCAATGGCACGTTATTAATGTGCCATCTGGAGGAGTTGGGACTGCCTGTGCAACCTCTTGTAGGTGTAGGGTCCCAGGTATCGCCTCATGCCCAACCAACTAGTGACACTGACCCTAGCCAAAATGCAAAACTATTGAAAAACCATAAGTCAGAAAAGATGAGTAGGAAAAAAAATGTCTGTGATCTCAGTGATCGATCTCTGCAAGCCTGTAAAACCATTCCTTTCCCTTAGTTTTGGGGGCTCCCTCGTCTCTTGTTTTCTCATATCTTGCCCATCTAGGGCTCATAGTGCACTATCTAGTGCAACTGTTTGTTAATTTCTTTAAACACCAAAGCAGCTGAAACTGACTAACTAACCCCCTCGACTACTTAGATTTTTTTTGGAGTAGTGTATAATGCTAATGATGACGGTCAGAGACTGTAGACATACTCAGAGGAAATGAATGGTCATACGAGAGACTGGGAAGGCAGTGCAAGCTAGTAATAGATAACTATTCCTTGCCCTTTTACAATTCATTGTTCTCAGCACTACTACTGTCTGCTGGACTCCAAGGCCCACATAACAAGTACCAAAGGGCTGGACACTAATGCTTTAGAGCAGTGGGTCTCCAAAGTTGCCGCGCCAATGGGTCAGAGTATGTTCCTGTTGCTTGGCCTTTATCCAGCCCTCTGGGCGACTAATTGGGTTTCCACTGACAACACCAATAAGGCATCATTACCATGCCCACTGACAACCAATGTAATTGCAGCATTTATTACTTCCACTGACACCAAATTATGGTTCACCCTTCCACACGTCAGATATAAAATGTTGCAAGCACCTTTCTTTCCACTAACACAAACATTAAAGGTAACTATTACTTCCTCCAAGCGTCGACGCACAGACATGGTGTTGTGTGACTTGTACAGCTGAGCCCATATTCTAACCCGCCCACCTGGCCACAGTCCATCCCAACTCAAAAAAAACTGTGAAGAATATGTTTAAATTGTGCCCTTTGGAAAGTTTTAGAGAATAGATTATTTCTGAACCTGAAAGTTTCCTCAATACGTATATCTCATCCTTTGTGCAGTGAACCTGCCA